ATATATATATATGCATACGAACATAAAATTGTGTTCTAAAAGTCTACTTCCTGTTTTCCATAATATATATACATAAATCATGAGCTATATAAGTCTCCAACCATTACCATATATGTATATATATATAAATATATATATATGCATATATATGCATATATATATATATAAATATATATGCCTGTCTCTTATACACATCTAGATGTGTATAAGAGACAGCTATATATGTTATATATATATATAGTGTTCCAATATCAAGATATTATATTATATATAATATAATCTTAAAATATTTTTTATAATATATTATATATTGCTATTTTATTATTATTATTATTATTATTATATTATTATATTATATTATATAATCTTTATTATTATATTAATATTATTCTTATATTATGTCTTTGCCTTTACCATTGTTTCTCTGGCATTTTGTACAGGGACATGTTCCCTTTTTTTGCCTACCAGACACATTACGTTTTGAGTGAAATATAATTATGAATTATGAATTATATTTCCAATGTTGTATTTTAACTTACCTCCATTATTTTTAGGAAGTCCACAAAATGCAGAATCATCTTGCCCTCCAGGCCTACCAGGTCTACCATGCCCTCCTGGTCCACCAGGTCCACCATGTCCTGGCCTGCCAGGTCTACCTGGTGTGCCCTGCCCTCCTGATCCACCAGATCCACCAGGACCACCTTGGCCTCCTGGTCTACCAGGTCTACCTTGCCCTCCAGGTCTACCAGGTCCACCTTGCTCTCCAGGTCTACCAGGTCTACCTTGCTCTCCAGGTCTACCAGGTCCACCTTGACCTCCAGGTCTGCCAGCTTCACCTTGATTTCCAGGTCTGCCAGGACCACCTTGGCCTTCTGGTCTACCAGGTCTACCTTGCTCTCCTGGTCTACCAGGTCCATCTTGCCCTGGTCTGCCAAATTCAGGTTCAGGTCCTGGTCTACCAAATTCAGGTTCAGGCTCAGGTTCACCTTGTCCTCCTGGTCTACCAAATTCTGCTTCAGGTTCAGGCCCTGGTCTATCAAATTCCGGTTCAGGTTCAGGTCCACCTTGTCCTGGTCTACCAAATTCAGGTTCAGGTTCAGGCCCTGGTCTACCAAATTCAGGTTCAGGTTCAGGTCCACCTTGTCCTGGTTTACCAAATTCTGGTTCAGGTTCAGGCCTACCTTGTCCTGGTCTACCAAATTCAGGTTCCGGTTCAGGACCACCTTGGCCTTCTGGTCTACCAGGTCTACCTTGCCCTCTTGGTCTACCAGGTGCATCTTGCCCTGGTCTACCAAATTCAGGTTCAGGTTCAGGTCCTGGTCTACCAAATTCAGGTTCAGGTTCACCTTGTCCTCCTGGTCTACCAAATTCTGCTTCAGGTTCTGGCCCTGGTCTACCAAATTCCGGTTCAGGTTCAGGTCCACCTTGTCCTGGTCTACCAAATTCAGGTTCAGGTCCTGGTCTACCAAATTCAGGTTCAGGTTCAGGACCACCTTGACCTTCTGGTCTACCAGGTCTACCTTGCCCTCCTTGCCTACCAGGTCCATCTTGCCCTGGTCTACCAAATTCAGGTTCAGGTTCAGGTCCTGGTCTACCAAATTCAGGTTCAGGTTCACCTTGTCCTCCTGGTCTACCAAATTCTGCTTCAGGTTCAGGTCCACCTTGTCCTGGTCTACCAAATTCAGGTTCAGGTTCAGGCCCTGGTCTACCAAATTCTGCTTCAGGTTCAGGTCCACCTTGTCCTGGTCTACCAAATTCTGGTTCAGGTTCAGGACCACCTTGTCCTGGTCTACCAAATTCAGGTCCTTGCCCTCCTTGTCTACCAGGTCCATCTTGCCCTGGTCTACCAAATTCAGGTTCAGGT